CGCACAGCCTGAACTGCACAGGCAGGCAGCGTGTTTCAGCATTGGGGTGAGGGCCAGCCATAGAGACACCCTGGCTGGCTACCAGAGCATCTCTGTGGAGGACCCGAGCCTCTGGTTGCCTGAGGGCATGGTCCAGGACCCTACTTTTTTTGCCTGGGTTATTTTTGACCCCTGGATAGCCAGGAGTCTAATTTGCAATGCAGGGAATTTTTTCTTGTTCCTGCATGTGCCTCTTGCAGCATCTCAAAGGGTGAGACACTACAAGAGGCATGTGCGCACTTGTCCGGATGTGCCCATTAAGTGCAAATGTAATAACATTGTGTGGCACCCTGTGACACCGTTGAAAGGATCTCAAGGCACACCTGGGTGCTGGGGCACATTGTTCTAAAGCCTACTAACTCATTATGAGATAACCATGATTTCTGTTAAGATTTTCTGTTTAGACACAAGCATAGCCAAAGACATTTAATCACTTTCGGAATTATTTGAAAACCTTGGTGTAGAAGTTAATTCTAAGTAATTGAGATTTTGCTATAACCGATTACAATTTTTGTTTTTTAATATAATTTTAATATACTTTCGTTCTTTTTCATACAGTCTAGTGAGCTACAGTATATTTTGTGAATGCGAGTAGGATATATAATTGTTCAAAAATAGAAATAAATATTGCCTGAACACAAAAGAAGCTTGTTGGATATTTGAGTGGTTGATTATGGAGTATTATGTATCCTTTCTTAGTGGTATAAATCTTGACTCAAATTAATTTTGGTCTATTGCAATTATTTAGTGGAGTTTTGTGACTTACATTAAATTAGTCGGTCTCACTTTATATAATGAATTGGCACCATTTTTAGAATATCAAAGCAAAGGTTAAACTTTTAATAAGCATAAATGAACTCCTTAAAAAAATTAATGGACGTCTGACTTAGAGAATGAAATACATTTCTATAATTTGGTCTTCAAAGTGAATTAAATCAAAAGTACTGTATTTGAAAAGGTTTTATACTTAAAAATATGGAAGTTGTGTTTGGGTAAGATTTTCTATCATTTTATTAAAATGTTGCTGTTTACTATAAATTGTTATGCGTTAAAAGAGACTATTTCAACCATTCTTAACATATATTTTTAATTTGCTATGTAATTGTATTTTTGTATCAGGTTGATAACACAAAACAAGTCTCTACCTATCAGGAGGTGATCCGTGGAGAGGGAATATTACCTGATGGTGGAGAATACAAACCACCTTCTGATACCTTGAAAAGCAGAGACTATTACTCGGATTTTCTAATTACACTGGCGGTGCCCTCGGCAATAGCACTGGTGCTTTTCCTAATACTTGCTTATATCATGTGCTGCCGACGGGAAGGAGTGTGAGTACCTTAAGACATTAATAAATAATTGTAGATTTTTCTCAGGTTGTGATACATACAAAAGCATCCAGTACAAGAACGTCATGTTGTTCATAAAAATATTTTAAAAGCAAACCAGTAGAAATACATGTAAGGTATGCTGTATTGTTTTCATCTAACCATGCATTAAAATTAGTGTTAATCTCCAAGAGAATAAATTTAGGGACTATAATTATTCTATTTTTTTTTTAATTCACCATACAAACAGCAATAAAATAAAATGAAAAGTGTCACCCATTTAGCCAAATTATTCAATTTCACTAAAACGTTTGTACACTGAACAGTAATTTTAAAGCCATTAGCACTAATGTAAAATAGTGGTTGAGGTGGGGAACTGAATTTACAGTTGTAAAAACCAAAAGCATAAAAGGAAAGCAGCAAGTAACGTAACTTCTTCCATCTCTTACACAAACTCTAATTTCATTTTGTCATAGAATTTATTTCAGCCAGAAACTTGTTCCTTAACTTACATTTTCATTTCTCTGTGTGTGTGGGTATGTGTGTGTGTGTCTGTCATCCGTATTGCATCTCTATATGTGCAGTCATCCAGGCCTTGCCATAAATCCGGTGGCAAATGCTGCCAAGTTGCATTTAGTGGTAACAGTGTCAGCATTTCCACATTATGTTCTGGCCCATCATCTTATAGATTTAATGTTCCAACTATCAATGCTATTATTTAATTCATAAATTTTGTTTTGTTTTTAGGGAAAAGAGAAACATGCAAACACCAGAGTAAGTGTCTTCTTTCCTGTTATTTTTCTTTCAAGATCATTTAAATTTTCATTTCTCAATAGCTTGTCATACTTCATACATGTGTCTCATGCCCTTCTTTCATTCTCTTTGATTTATGTTTTAATTCATATATGTGAAAGCTGCTTTAAAAATACAGAGGCTTGGAAAGGATAGCAGGTCAGAATAAAAAGGGCTTGAAATGAATAAATTCAATATAAAATAGTTTATCTTAAACATTAAAAACATTAACCTGGGATTTATTTTCATGGTTATGTGACTTCCTGATCTACATTTTTAAAATGCAGTGGAAAGTTTAAAAGTTTAAAAATGTATTTCATAAAAGATATTTTATGTCTACATTTTTAAATATCTACAGAGATTTTATATTCTGCCATAAATTTAAGCTTGTGCAAATATTTATAAAATGATAAGAAGCAACAGTATAAAGTTACTAAAACTTTTCTTTAGACAGGAGCAAAAAGGAGTATTAACAATAAATTGCATAATCTTAGATACTTTATAAAACGTTTCTCTACTCACCAGAGCCTAATGGACAATCCGTGGTTTCAAAGTTAGATAAATACAATTCCTATATTATTCTTGTTATTTTAAAGTTCTATTATAAATCACTGTACTTCTAATTTATTTTGTAGCATGCACTAAAAATTTCTATTATGTATATAAAAAAAAAGTTTTCTAAAACTACCCATACATGTAGAACAATTTTTTAAGAAGAAAATATTTATTATTTTATTTCCTTTTGACATAGCCTCCAGTTGGTCCACCACAGTGCTATACAGAAATCGACCAAAGAGCTTCGTGATATGTCCAAAAATAGAGAGATAGCATGGCCTCTTTCAACGCTTCCTGTGTTTCATCCAGTCACTGGTGAGATTGTACCACCGCTTCACACAGACAGCTATGATAATACTAGCATGCCACTAATGCAAACACAGCAGTAAGTATAAATTTAGATCTTTTATACTTAGAACTATGCTGCACAGTGGAGCTGTGGAATCCAGTGATTTTTTTCTGACTATTCATTATAGAGGGATCAGTTAAGCTCTCTGTGAAACTTGCATTCTAAACAGGAATCAAATTGTGTTACACAATTTAAATATCTGAATTCAGCTTCCTAAGTTAACAAAAGTTCCATAACAAGGCAGTTAACTGTTACAGCAGGAACACTAAAATGCTCTATTTTCAAACTTTTTCCTTGTTTTCCTAATATTTCTTTTGGGTCATCTCTGTAAACAACTACAGTCACCATATAATCAAAGTACCATATACAAATGCATCCTGAAACCATTTCAAACACAGTCTATATTTGAAATTTTAAAATAAAACACAAAGGCTAGTTCACTTTAGAGAATAAAGAAAAGTTAACCCACAAAATTGTTAAGAACTGCCAGCTACCTTCATAGTTTCATAGTTTGTAGGGTCGGAAGGGACCTTGACAGATCACCAAGTCCGAGCCCCTGCCATGGCAGGAAAGAGCACTGGGGTCAAACGACCCCAGCAAGGTGTTCACCTAGCCTCCTCTTAAAGACCCCCAGGGTAGGAGCAGCACCACTTCTCTTGGAAGTTGGTTCCAGATCCTAGCCGCCCTGACAGTGAAGTAGCGCCTCCTGATGTCTAGTCTGAATCTATCCTCGGCCAGCTTGTGACAGTTAGTTCTAGTCACTCCTGGTAGTGCTCAGGGGAACAGGGACTCCCCCAATGCCTGCTGGTTCCCTCTGACTAGTTTGTAACAGACGAATAGATCCCCCCTCAGCCTTCTCTTGTGGAGGCTGAACAGGTTCAGGTCCCTCAGCCTCTCCTCATAGGGCCTGCCCTGCTGCCCCCGGTCATGCGAGTGGCCCTCCTCTGGACCCTCTCAATGCTGTCCACATTCCTCCTGTAGTGCGGCACCCAAAACTGGATGCAGTACTCCAACTGCGGCCTGACCAGTGCCACATAGAGGGGGAGGATCACCTCCTTGGACCTGCTCGAGATGCATCTGTGGATGCATGACAAGGTGCAGTTGGCCTTCCTTACCGCGTCCCCACACTGTCGGCCCATGTTCATCGTGGCATCAATAATGATTTCAAGATCCTTTTCTGCCTCTACACTGACAAGAAGGGAGCTCCCCAGCCTGTAGGTATGCTGCTGGTTCTTCCCCCCCAGGTGCAGCACCTTGCACTTGTCAGTGTTGAAACCCATCCTGTTCTCATCTGCCCACCCCTGTAACCTGTCTAGGTCTGATTGCAGCCTATTCTTCCCTTGTAGCATGCCCACATCTTACTGTCATCAGCAAATTTGAATAGGGTGCTTTTTAGCCCCTCGTCCAAGTCACTGATGAAAATGTTGAATAGTGTAGGTCCGAGGACCAAGCCCTAGGGGACCCCAGTGCCCACATCCCTCCAGGTCGAAAATGACCCGTCCACCATCACTCTCTGAGTGCGGCCCTCCAGCCAGCTAGCGACCCATTTGACTGTGTAGGTGTTGATGCCACAGTCCCCTAGTTTTTTAATGAGAATGGAGTGAGACCATGTCAAAGGCCTTCCTGAAGTCCAGAAAGACTACGTCCACTGCTACCCCTGTGTCTAAGGATTTTGTGACCTGGTCATAGAAGGCCACCAGGTTGGTCTGACAGGACCTGCCTCTAATGAACCCGTGTCGGTTGCCCCTAAGCATATCCTTCCCTGCTGGCCCCTCATGGACATGCACCAGGATAATTCTCTCAAAAAGCTTACCCAGGATCGAGGTAAGACTAACTAGCCTATAGTTCCCTGGGTCCTCCTTCCTCCCTTTTTAGAAAATGGGAACCACATTGGTCCTTTTCCAGTCCTCTGGCACTGAATGAACCCGTGTCGGTTGCCCCTAAGCATATCCTTCCCTGCTGGCCCCTCATGGACATGCACCAGGATAATTCTCTCAAAAAGCTTACCCAGGATCGAGGTAAGACTAACTAGCCTATAGTTCCCTGGGTCCTCCTTCCTCCCTTTTTAGAAAATGGGAACCACATTGGTCCTTTTCCAGTCCTCTGGCACTGTACCAGAGCACCACGAGTGCTCGTAAAGCCGTGCCAGGGGTCCTGCAATGACCTCTGCCAATTCCCACAGCACTCGGGTGGAGATCGTCAGGACCAGCTGATTTAAATACGTCCAGTCCCTCCAGAAGTTCCCTGACTAGATCCTCACTGACCCTAGGCCTGGATGCGCCTCCCCTGGGGCCTGAGGGGGTCCTGGCGGACGGGCTGATCTGGTCCCTGTTGAGGTAAATGGAGGCAAAGAAATAGTTAAATAGGTTAGCCTTGTCGTCTGGTGCGACAACCAAATTTCCTAGTGCATCTTGCAGAGGCCCCACGTTACCGGGTACCTTCTTTTTGCCCCCTATGTATTTAAAAAAGGACTTCTTGTCCTTAATCCGGGTAGCTAGTCCCAGTTCCATCTCCACCTTGGCCTTCCTGACCGCCCCCCTGCAGCCCCGAGCAACCGAGGTATAGTCTTCCCTACCTTCATTGCTAACAGCGTTCCTCCTAAAGTACGAGTGAAAATTTTGAAAGCCAGAGATGGTTATTTCTAAGCAGGAGTGTAAGGGTGATGCAAGAATGAGGCTTGGAGGAGTTGCTGTAACAATAGCATTGCAGGAGTCAGGCAGCCCTTCATGGAAGCATTAGTACATTATAGGCTTTCCATTGCAATGCTGCCTGGGTTTGGAGAACAGAAACAGTAACACTGCCGAACTCTTCAAGTACTGACACTATGCGCCTTAAATCAATTTAGTTAAGTCACCTTATTTTAAGTCTGTTTAGTATGTGTGAACGCACCCACTATAATTTAGAAGGACTGGACTCCCTGTGCCTGCTTATATACCTCCAACCAAAATTTGTTTTACTTATCCACGTCCCCAAGTCATCTCTTTTGGGTCTTTTCTTCTTTAAGCAGCGCTTTGCTCCTCAGATATCTGGGCAGTCTTCATACTTGCTTTCAGCACACTGTACAGCAACTGTAGAAAAAACCAAGGACAGGAGACAGGGATGAGAAGGCAGAGAAGTAAGCAGGAATTAAAGGGTGAGAAGGGCAGGGTTAGGGTTTTGTTGGGGAAGAAGAAATGAAGCTTCAAGATGAAAGGGCAAAAGAATAGGCAGCTTAAAATAAAACTGCTCCCTCTCCTGGCTCAAGTCTCAAGTTTTCCCGAGTACAGTCTTGTTGCTTCATTTCCCTCTGCCCTGCATACTTCCTGTATCCTTCTTTCTATATCCCCATTTTTAATGTCTCACAGCTCCATGTCTCCCTGCAGATGTCTTTAAGGCTGCTACTTGGTTCTTATTGTCTCCATGAGCTACCCAAATACCTCTATGTCCTTACAGCTCTGAAGGGACTAGCTTTGAAGGAAAGGGAGAATAGAGCAATAAAAACTGGGTTTTTCATGGTGACATAGGGGAAAGGCAAATTGGCTGCCATCAAGGAGGGCCGTGGGGCTCTGAGGGGCCATAGCAGACTAGGACTCTGTGTGGAAGCATGCAGGGGAGAATGTGTGCCAGGACTGATTGTTCTCTATTTACATAACTGTCCAAGTTCCATAATAATTTAAAATGCTGGGAAATATCCCATCCCAAAAGTTCAAAAAATATCCCATCCCAAAAGTTTAGTGTGCTGTAGATTAAGGTTGTTGGTTTACATATCCCATGAATACAAACAGTAAAAAGAAAGTAAGCAGTTGACAGTTACAACATGTTAACGCTCCATCTACAGTTCAGGCCAGAACTGGCTGAAAGATGGAAACCCTTTCCTGTGAAAAAATGCTCAGTGTGAATCAGGAGAGTCAAATCGTGAAAGCTTTGCAGGGAGAAATGTCCAGAAAAATTACATTTGGGGAAGACTGAAATGGCATCTTTTGGTTTGTTTGCTGCTCACCTGGCTGGTTCTTGTCAGGTGCACTTTCACTTCACAGGTGGAAAGTAAAATTGGCAAGAGCCTTCCAGATGGCCTGCTGGGGGTTGAGTATCCTGGCTGTGGGAAATGGAAAGCTGTAGTGTTCAGCCTTGTCATCTTTCCCTCTACCCAAAAGCCTTCCTGGGAGGCAGGCTGTGGAGGAGCTGGGAATGCTAACACCTTGGTTTGCTGCCTCCCTGACAGCAAGTGGTGGGCAGGCAGATAGGTAGATCAGCTTCCAGCAGCCCATCTGAAAGGCTTTTGTTAAGCTTACTTTGAGATGAGCTTTCTATGTGGGGAGCCGGGCACCATTGTTCCAGTTTTTCTGGTGGAAAAAATAATTTTACCATATGGACTTTTTTTGGTTGAAAAAAATCACTGTGATGGAAAGTTCCTGATTAGTGCTAGTTCCATCATCAAATCATAGCCTAGATTTACCTGTCCAAGTACCCAGTCTGCAGATTTTCACTCTTGTGTGTCAGTATTGCCAATTCTTGCCATATTTGATACATTTCTTAAAGACACAGCAACTGGATGCATGTGAGGGGAGACTCAACTTTAATTTAAAAATGTTTCTAGCCCTTACATTTGCAGAGAAACTCAAAATTCAAAAGAAAGTCAATAAATATTGGGTTGTTTGTATTTTTTCAGTATCTCCTGATTGTTTAGGGTCAGCCTTTTGACGTTTAAATGCTTGAAGTTGTCAGTGTCGTGACATTTAATACTGGAATACTATTTTAAATATAACATAATAGAATATTGGAATAAATAGAAGAAACCCACTGCTATTCATTTGTTCTTTAAAGAACATGATTATGTTCACATTGGGCATATTTTTATTAATTTTTAAGATGGTTTTTGCTGTTTTGGAAAAATTATAGTTAAGTAAGTTCTGTATAACAACATCAAGCTAGCCTAAGAGCTAGGAAATAAAATTTCCTGTAAGTTAAAGTGAAACAACCAACAGTGTTCCATTATCTACATAGTTTACCTTTTTAATCAAATAGCACAAATGGTAATATAGATTTTGAAACAGATTATAATTCTTCCTATTCAAAGGTTACTAGAAGCCCAGAAAAAGAGCTTTTTAAAAGTCAGTTGTTAAATTTCATTTTGACAATGCTCCTTTACTGTCATTTCTCATTGTCTCCATTTCAAGGGAGTACTATGTACTACAGATTAAAGCCAAAGTAAACATTATCATTGCTAGGTGTTTGCAGATAGATTACATATTTCTTAACTAATAGCATTTAAGTAATGATATCTTGTTTTATATCTATATTGTGCAAATATGAAGAAATATTTTGGATAAGGATATTATAATATAGTAGTGGATTAAACAGAAATGTCTCTATCCTGCCAAGTCTGTTTTTTAAAATAGATATTACCAATACAAAATGGTGTAAAAATGTAATAGGTTGCAATAGAAAATGTGTTCTCGGAAAATACATGCACACACACTACAAGCTCTTTGCAGCCACTTTCGGTTACTGTTCTTTTCCACTCTTCCTCTTCCTTTTTCGTGTCCTTGTGTGACAATATATTTAGCAGAATTCGCAGGTTTGTTGGAATCTGATAGGGGCGCAGCATAAGCGCTTCTGCTGTGGCCTTAAGCTTGCAACCTCAGGGCTGTCAAACAATAAAATATAACAAATATTTTTATCATTTATATATTTTTAATATTTTTCTCAAGGGCCCTCTACTGGCTCTTAAAGAGCAGTTACTTATACATTTCCAAAAGCAAATACGCAATCCTGACTGCCTTTAAATAATAAATAAATGGGGTTTTTTTTCTATTAATTGACTTAACTATTTTCACAATTATTGATTCACTTCCATTGGTTATGGAGACACAATATGAACATTGGGCAAAATTAACAAAAAAAATACAGTAACTCTGAACCTGTTAAAGACTCAAATGTGGGCAATAATCGAACATGAATGACACAATAGAATTTTTAAGCCAGGAAATTTAATATATGATGGAGTTTCTCTTCCATTTACATACCATTCTTAATAACACCTCTCTTCTAAAGTTAGAGCAGTCCCTGTTTAATAGCAGTTGACAATATGGTTGGGAAATTTATAGAGCATTATTAGATAAGAGAAGAATCTACTGTAATGAAAGGACCTGCCATTAATAAGCAAGAAGCAGGAACTGAGAAAATATTTTTACTCATTTTGTCCATGTTCCTGAAGACGTGGATTGTTTCTTAGTTTTTTCTTCAGTGTTTATAAGCTCATATACTGGGATAGCTTACATTTTTAATGTGATTTCAGTATTACTCATCAAATAAAAGGTACTAATCAACTTGAGTAAAATGATCAGAATCTGGGGGAAGAGGAAGGGGCACAAGAGGTCAGAGTTAAAAAATAAGTGCCTTGTGATGGGGTAATTTGGGGGCAAATATTTTAGATTTATGGGCCACTTGCTTAGTTGTTAAGCGACTTTCTCTGTAAATTTAGCTTTACATTCTCTTTTCATTTTCATCCTATAATTCTTTCCTTAAATTCCTATATATCATCCAGTCAAATCCTGTTCATTATCCTTCAGATTTGATAAATATTTTTAGACAATCCCTAGGAGGTACTATAGTTTAAAGCAAATTACTTAGCTCCTTATCTTATCTTTTATTTCATCCTTTCGCCTTCCTCTTATTTCTACTTACTGATCTCTTTTGAGATCCCTCCTGCTTATCCATCTTTCATTCATGAGATAACTAGAACAGAAACAGCTATCTAGCTATGGCTCTAACTTAATGGGAGTTGAGGGTAGTGAATCCTCATACTATTTATTTAATCTGTTAGAGAGACAATCATTTCTTTCCATTAAATTATTTCTTACCTAAGGGATAGTCATCATTATTTGTATTATAATACCTGAAGTTTACAATCAGTACTGGAACCTCTTTATTCTAGATACTGTACAAACATATGTTGGGGAGAAATGAAAATGCAAGTAGTTTTTGGTCTGTGCAGTCTTAAAACTAAGATTGTTCTTACCTGCTTCTCAGGCTAGTTCAGCGTTCCAAGTTGATTTCTATTTTTTGACGACATTCCTGGCCTTCCTATTGCCCTTCATGTTTCTCAATTTTACTTTGTAATCACCTCACAATTTATCTTGCACCAAAATACTTCTTCATTTAGGGCCAGATAAAAAAGAGGATTTGGGGGAGGGGGAGGAGAGAGAGAGAGAAAAGCTTCACACAAAAAACAAGACATAGGTAGGACTTTCAGCTCAAAACTTCAATCCAGAAAAATTTGTTCAAGTGGCTGCTCAACCTTGGAGGTGCCTGAATTAATTAGGCACCTCCCTGTTTGACCTGAAAGAACACTAAACATCTGCATTTCTACTTCTGTTGATGCCCAGAGGTGCCAGTGTCTGACCAGCTAGGTACCTACCTACTTCCTATGTAGATGCCACTGGGATCCCGAACCTAAACCAAACAGCACCCAAGTACCTGTGTGGCCCAGTCCAGTAAACATGCTGGCTGCGTCCAGATGTGCATGGATGTTTGGTTCTTTAGGGACAACTAGTGGTGGTGCAACTTGTGCCACTACTAGTTGTCCCTGGGGAAAACCTGTGCCACACGCGCTCTGGCATGTGGCAGCTTACCCCAGGTGGGGTAGGGGAAGCTAGGACCAGCACTGGGCTGGCCCCAGCAACCTTACCTGGGGGCCTTCTGGGGCTGCAGCAACGGTGATCCTGCCTTGTGGAGTCTGGCCGGCTGCAGTGTGGCTCCGGCTTTGGGCAGGGCACACTTCCACTGCATGCACCGTTGTTTTTTTTTTCCTGCAGTATTTTTGACTCTTGGATGTCCAAGGGTCAAAAAGCTCTCCGTGCTGCTCCCTTGCAGTGTGGAGAACAACTGAACGTGTGGTACGTGGTACCACAGACGCGTTTGCGTGCCACATACCGCATGGCCGCACTTGTCTGGATGTGGCCATTTAGAGCTTGTTTATGGTATGGAGTTCAGCACAAAACAGTGCTCATGGCTGTCAAAAAAACATGGGTTGACTTGTTGTGTGGCCACCCCTGCCTTTTACACGGTAGTGTTTAGAGCAGTGATTCTTGACCAGGGTGCTGCTGCAAGCTAATAAGAGCGTAGTAAAGATGAAAGCCTAACACTGTCACACTGTCTGGTATCTTAGAATGAATTGCTCTGTTTTCTTTGTTGTTGAGTCTCTGTATGAATCTTTAACTAGTCAGTTTTAATATGTACAGTCTTCCTGATAATTATACTGAGAACTTTTTCTTTTTTGATACAGTAAGGGGAATCTCCTTCAAGAAAGGAAATAACTTGTTTTCTTGAAGGGGACATGTCAGTGAAACACAACATAATCACAACTTAACCATCCTGCTGATAGGTAAATGCAAAGGAGAAACCAACACTTTTGCCTCAGTGCTTATTTTTTAAAGTAGGAATCATTGATCCTTTGACATTATTATATTACCTAAAAGTTTATTTCCATTACAATGAGTGACTGATGGAGACGTTATTGCAGATGATGATGGATTTTGTGCAGTGAACTCGCTGTACCACTACTGGAAAGCTACATCCTTTTTGTCCTTTGTTTTAGCTCATCAGAAAGCAGCTCATCTGTAAAATGGTCTGTTTTAAAAGACACACTATGTTGTGAATCAACCGGTTTCTGACAAGTTTTGCCTTTAGGTTTTAAATAAGTCATGCAGAAATCATATAGATTTAACTTAAAATACAGGAAATGTTGCTATATTTTCTTGTGCATCAGACATCTGGGTAAAAGATGCACCCCTTGAAGAAAAGATAAAATTATGGGAAAAAATACTTAACAAATTTGATTGAATTTTGATTAAACTTTATTACAGTGATTTCTACTATTTTTCCATTATGTAACTTTGGCATGTAAGAACTTGTTTTTTAGGCCACCATGTTTAGAAAAAACTCTCATATACATCAGAAAATATGACACTCAAACATATGCTGCTATCCCTTTGTTCTAGACACTCCTTACCTTCTGCTCACATTTTAGGTGTATGGCTGTACCACACAGTGTTGTACTTTATAGAGAATCCAAGCTCTCAGGTACTGGAAGTGGTACAGCTACACTACCCTGGGCAGAATGCCGTAATGCTGCAGCTGTACTGCTTCTAATATCTGAGCTAGCTTGTTTATAGGTAATGTAGTTATCATTATATGAAATGGCATTGTGGCATGTAAATGTATCCTAAGTGTTTCTCCAGTCCTTCCTGTCCCAGCACAAAATTCCCAAAGAGTGGAAGCTTAGAATAGATCTCAGTTAACAGACAAAAGAGCCTTTTGCCCAAGTTTAATTAGTCTCTCATAGTGTGTTTTGAAGAACAGCTTCTTCAGGCCTTAAAAATAGCAAATTGGTGAAAAGTAAAAGCCAGGAACTAAATCTGGTCATAACTTTACCAGTCTTCTCAGAAACTCGACTCAACTAGGTCACGCTTCTCATGATTTTGTTGCTTTAAAAATACCGAGTTTTGGTGTTTCAGGGAATTTATGCCACAGTTTTGGTGATGCCTATATTTAAGGAATATTACAGATATTTAGAATATTACACATAGTTTAACTTTACTTGCATGATCTGATTTCAGTGGAACTGATCACATAAGCAAAAAGTACAACCAATGCAGTCATCTTTTCACAAGTAGGCTGTACAGCCCCATCAAACATGTTCTTCTTAGTTATTGAAAAAAATATAAGCATCTTAAAATTTCTTCACCTGCACTCTGACCATTAATCCACATCTGCTAACATTACTTTAACACTCAATATCTTCTTAAACAGCCATTTAAAAACAGATACAAAATGTTTCATCTTTTCTCCCCAAATAGGAAATTTCCCCTCACAATTCCACTGATCTGAAATAAAGGGTAGGCAATACTCATTAAACCAACAGGTTCCATCTTTCTCCACTAATCAGTAATACAAATAGAAAAGTGTATGTTAGAAATATGCTGCAGCCAGCTGATAAGCTAAAGAACAGGAGAATCAGGTCCTTGGGTACTTAGGAAGCATTTTAATCCATGCAGAATACTAATAAAATGACATTTCCATTTCTGTATTGCAAGTAGAAAATTGTGTAGAATTTAGTATTCCTGTTCTCTTTGCCTCTCTTCTGATGTCTTACATTTCTCACTTGGTAAAGAATTTGTTCTCTGAACCTGGGTAGCAGTGAGACTAATACTGCTGTATGTTAGCAGTAATGTAGTCCCTCTCATATTGAACTGTTTAGCATTTTGGCTGCTTTGTTTATCCACTTAGAAACAAAATGATCACCTTACCATATGATGGCAGATATATGTTTTTAACACGTCAACTGTGTTCATAGATATCTACTCTACACAACATATACAGGTTTTTAAAATATTAAATTATTATTTGTAGGAACCTGCCACATCAGACTCAGATTCCACAGCAGCAGACTGCAGGTCAGTATAAAAATCAGTTCTGACCGATCAAGTGATAATGGAGAATAGGCACCAGCCAATACTTACACAGCTGTTGGCCCACAACGTTGATTTGGAATTGATGTTTTAAAATTCCAGATTTTACAGAGAAATCATTGCAAGGTTTGGCATGAAGCCAGGGGGAAGAGCAGGCAGAAAAGCTACAGTGGGATTGGGGCTCAGGTCATTGGGATCCAGACAAGCTGAATCCAAGATCTCAATTAGACCAGCCTCTCATTGTAACACCTGATTACTGATTTCCTGGTGGTACTTGGGCTGTTTGGATTCCACTGTAGGTAGGAAATTTGTGATCCTTACAACTACCAAGGACAGGTTTGACTACTGAAGCAGTCTTTATACCTTGTGGTCCTCAGGCATAGAGACTGGGAGATTTTCCACTGGCCCGTGTCATCACTTTGCATCACTCTGATAAGCTATCATATACCTGTTCTGGTGAGAGGACGAATCCAAGCCTCTTTCTGTTTATCTTCTGTTAGCATCCCTGGTGTGAAAAAAATTACATTTGTGGCCAGCTAGGAGAGTGGATAAGAAATCAAAGTAGGAAAATGGAGTTGCCAAAGAGTAATAGGTTAAAGTAAGCAAGTTTCAGAGTCCACAAGAAGCAGCATTTATACTCTTCATACATAACATGCAGACTGTAACCTTAAACACAGGTTTGGTCTAACATAGCGTTATATAAGAAATCCTTGTTTGGTATCTTTATTCTAAATCCTTATTCTCCATTACTGCTTTCGGGGGATTAAAGGAGAATTTCGTATGACAACATTTCAAAGATTTGAGGCAAGTATATAACTGACAACTCTGCCCTGTGTTTTTTCGTTATCCAAGAAACAATATTTGTAAAATCTTGGGTATAATTTTGCATGATATTGTTAAATTGTTTTGGTAATATTTTTCCAATATTAAAAAAAAATAAATAAAAGTGCTAGGTTGCATAGTAGAGCTTTGTCCAAAGCTTTCAGCACCAGAAGCTAGGGTTAAAATTAGCTTCATGCATACACATTAGTCATTTATAAAGGAAAAATAGGGACACTGTAAACATTTGTTTTTTTTAATCTAGTTCCTACTCAGTAGAAATTAGTTTTAGCTTAGTACTTGTGAGAGAGAGCTGCGTGGCTCCGGTCTTGAGAAGAAATGCACGTATGCTGCTTTTAGAACATTTTGCAAATATGTGTATGCTTAATGCTTCTTTTCATGGGGATTCTGCAGCGCTTGAGTAGCAAACAAAGCAGTTCATTGTTGCCATTTTGCTGAAAATGAGATTGCAGTGTCTGGAGGTGCTGGACGCAGCAAATGAAAGGAATAGAAATAGTTACTGAAATTGCTGTCCTTGCTGATGAGATCTTGAGCCACCTGAAGCTATTTCCACTGTATTTGTCAACTGCTGTTCTGGGTGAATTGAGAGAGAATGTGAATTGTTACAAAATCTGTTTTTGCCTCCTTTGTGGCTAGTGGAAGATTAGCAGTGGTTTCTCTACACAGTGGGAGTGACATGCTGTCTTGTTCCTTAACTGCTCTCACCCGGTTTTCCATTTTTGCAGCTCAGGTACCACTTGTAACACAGGCACCACCTGTCCTTTCACTTTTGTGCAAATGAAGAGCAGCTGATCTGACATCCCCCAGATGATGTTTTATGTAACTTTCTGGTGTGTTCTATTTTCTGAAAGCAGCGGAAACTTTGCCCATTGTACAGCAGTTCTCCTCTTATGCCCAGTGCCACCCTTCCAAAACAGAGGCCATCTTGGGGAACAGAATCCATATTTTGACTCCTCCTCATTGCAAGATGATGCCTTGGGACCATATCACTAGCTGCCATTGGCTAAGGAGGTCTCCAAATGACCTGGGATCCATATATATCCACCCCAAGAATCAGAAAACCTAATTCTCTTCCCTTACATCAGGGCCAAAACTAGGCTTATCAGAGAACTGCTTGTGTCCTGCTTTTCTCACCTAGTTTCCAATTTGCCTTGGAGTGGCTGAAGGACATACACATGGGTAGCACAGGACTTAGTTCTGAGGGTAGGTGATATGTGTATATTGTATTTACCAAAGACATGAAGTATGAGAATTATGCTTCTTTTTTAACAAGGAACAACAATATAAACCTGCCCTATAGTAGCTTGCAAAAGTCTCTCTCTGGCTGTTCCTACACTTCTGTTTTTCAGTAGCCACTATTTTCGTATTTTTTCCTAAAAGAAGCTTCACCTTTTCCCCAGCAGAAATTTTTTTGGGGCAGAGTAAAAACTCTTCAACATAAAAATCCGATACCTAGAGAAGATCAGTTTAGTAAGTTTTTCATAGTTGTCTTGTTCCAGTTTGCACTTCATACAAAACAAGAATGATCAGTACTAAAGTGATAGCTGTTGTTTGTTCCAGAAAGTATATTATACACATGGGACTACAATGTAATTGGTGTTTCTGGGCACCCCCAAAATACATGCAATTCATTTGCATGTATGGTGAAATACTAATACTCTGGTTTTGGATGTCTTCAACATGGATGCCTGGAGTTTTGTAATCACTAACATTGCCAACAATTTCCAGAGTATTGAATAAATTGAATTCCTTGTTTACACTGTGTGTGTTTTAAAAACAAATATGCACATTCACAGTGGTACCTTTCAGGGAGGTACACACACAATTATTTTCACCTAAAAAATAGGGAGCACTCAGTGGGAGGCATGGTTAGTTATACCACACCCTTACATTTAATGGTGCCTAGGTGAGTTGTACCATCTCAAGTTCAAGTATAGTCGTAGGTAAATACTTGATACAAAATAATTCCTCTTGCACTCACTTTCCTTCCATTCAAGTCGTGTTACTGGATGATAGTTAGACCTTCCTTCCAGGATCTAGCAGTATAGCAAATAGTTAGACAATGTTGATAATGATGCAATTGCTTTCCTGAGATTTTGGCACACGTGTGTGGCAAGAGCATGTCTAACAGGAAGCTTATAACCTACAGTAGCAGAGCAGTATAATATTAATATGTCAACAATAGAATTCAGACATCCTTAAAAAAATTACCTATCATTATCAAATTAACATAACTTTATGTTCATTATTAAATGAACATAAGATACTTCCAAATGAATATACAAAAATAAAAATGTTACAGCACTAGAAATTTAGTTTGCCTATTTTCCTTATTTGCCATGAAGAGTTATCAGAAATAGCTAATACTGCTAAATGCACCATGTACCAGAATTTGAATTACTCATTGCATGACTTTTAAAAGCCTAATGGACAGCACTAATTCAGTATTTAATCTGAATATCCATTTTACAAATAATTTCAATATTCAATAACCAATTTTTCTACTGAAGACTTTAAAAATAGGACAGCTAGACTGATGCTTGCTGACATTGCAGTTGTACTTTCAAACAGGTTGGGATTATGCAATGAGAAAACTAATTTGGAGATTCATAAACAATATGTCACAATACTCATTTAATGTCTGCATTGTACGGAAGAAGTGACTGTTGATCTAGTAGATCTAAAGGTACATAACCTTCTTAGGCTTCTTTTGATAACTATTCACTTTTGTTCCTCCGAAAACTGATAAAATCCAAGCTACCTACTTGGTTAAACAAAAGGATGGGTTATTCTTGTAATGCAAAAATAATCTTAAACAGCACAAAGGTAAGTAATATTCCCAATTTGAGAGTTGCAGTTTCCCTTAGTTGGGCCTGTTAGCGCTAAGTAGATGGAGAGATTCATAATCAAATCAGGGGGGCTGCTAAAGAAAGACTAAAGAAAACAGATAAGAAAACCACACAAGTCCTTTAGCCCCAAAGGTGAGTGACATCTTCACAACTGTCAGGGAAGCCAGGTAGTCATAAGATTCAATATTATTTTGAATATGTTTGTTTAATTTATGTTCACACTTGCTTACACTGAAATAGCTAAAGGCTATACAGACCTGTCTAAAATTCAGGGAGGAGGAGTGGGGAGATAGATCTTTACATTTGGAGCCAGGTTTGGAAGATTTAAAAAAAAAAAGTATTTAAGATTGCAACAGATTAACTAACTCATGATTACATCTTTTCCAGAGCTAGGATAAGACAGATACTTCAGTGGCCAGTTTTGAATTCAAATACAGATTCTAAGTTCCATTGGTTTTGGAAAGGATCGATAATTTCCATTTATTTACTAGGATGACAAGTATTGTAATAATTGAATGTTGTAAGAACAACTTCTGCCACTAATGGATTATATGCATTCTTAATTTATTTACAGGTAAATGGTATCCCTGAGGAAAGGAAACTAACAGAAGCAATGAATTTGTAATCAGATAAAACAGTAATCACATCCTATTTCCTTATTTGTTCAAATTGATGCATGAGCTCTTCTGATGTATATTGTGCATGACACGGTATTAAAGATTTCAGTGCCAGATAGTACAATCATTTCCATATAAACTAATGTACTGTATCTTTTTTGTACTTTGGACATTTTTGACAATTTGTAAAAACACTGATAACTTTTTATATTTGTTACATTACGAGAATATCTTTAAAATAAACACATTAATAAATATCAACCTTTCTTCTGACTCCCATGAACTACACAAAATTCCAAGGAAAAAGTGAGTTCTTTCAAAATACCAGATTCAGAGATAGATGGACTCTGTTCTGTAAAGGCTAAAGCTGATTTGCGTGTCTGATATAGAAGAAACAAGTGTACAGAAACTGATGGAAGTCTGCAATAGCAAGATCTTGAGCTAAAGTCAAAAAAGTCCCTATCATTACCACAGAGGGAGGATATTATGACAACCAGTTTATTACTGTTGGTGGGATATGCTGGCCTTACACAACTTGTTTTTGCAAGTTGGAAATACAATAAAGTTAACGTTTCTACAGCATCTTCTCAGGAGCCAACATGTAACACATTTTCTAACTGCTTAAAGTCAAATTAGCAGGATGAAATGCATATTTTAAAATAAACTGTTTACTCCATACTATAAAAATAAATATTGTTCTTTTCCCCCCAAAATTGCCAAAGGCAATAGTTTGGAGGGCATTTTTTGATTAACAATAACATAGTTTAAGCCAGAGACTTTATTTTACATATCCAGGGTGCTGTTTTCTTTTTTAAATCTTAATTAAAAAAAATCCAAGAACATGTTAAAACAAGGACTAACTCAAGTCACTTACAACACATGTCAAACACACACCTGATACATTATCGTGGTGTTAAAAAGTTTTAATCTATAAAACAAAATGCTTTTATATATGGTCATTGTAAGAGTGTGTTTTACAAACAGATCATTCTAATTTATTTCAGGTATTTATTTTATAAAATATTTACATGAATGGTATGAACTTCCATAACAGTCTCTAATCCTTTTTCAAATCTGATTGAGATTCAAACTTTTGGAACTCTCACTGTTGTTATTTGGATCAGTTTGTACAGCAAAGGAGTTTCCGTCTCTCTGACTGATACTCCATTTTAACTCATATTTTTGCTTTCTTTGTATTGTGTTCTGTGTATCTTTATTTGGCATTTTAAGCTTAATAGGACATCTTGAAGTTGAGGCACAAAACCGTGCATGCATTAAAACCACTATACAATAGTCATTGTTCCTTTGGATTCCAAGCATCTATAGTGTTTATTCAGAGCCACAAATTTAAAATAACTGGAGCTAGTGTGACAATCAACATCTTGTGTGTTAGCAGTGTTTGTCACTCTGGAAGAAAATTGTAAACAAAGCCAAAGAACTCGAAACAAATTAATTCCAAATTGAAACAAGTCTCCTCTGTGCAATACAAAGGGCTTCTACAAGAAGTGCCACATTTACAAACATTCATAATATTTTAACCATTAATATCTGGGGAAAAAACAAAAACCAGACAAAAATTCACATTTTCCCTCAAATTCTACTAAAAAAATCCAGAACGTGAGTTGACAAAACAGCTTTGGATATGAACTCTTAAGGCTAATGAGAAACAGCATATTTTGATTGTCGTCTACTACATGGCAACATGAAAGGATAGGAATGTTTTACAAATACCCAGGGTCGTGCAAATACATGGATTTAGTTGATTTCACAGATGATACACACATAAAGCTAAGGATGTACATATTTGTAGGTTTGGGTGCTGGTGTTTCAACACCCTGGAAGGTAGGGAAGGGAAACCCTAGGATCTTTTACAGCCCTCACTGGAATGTACAGACTGTAGCACACGGGGCTCCTCTACACATGCAGGTAATGGCACGATGGGATCTAATGAATGATCCACACCATCATGCCTCCTGCCATGCCATGTGCATGGCAGGAGGAACAATTGTGGATCACGTATTAGATCCTATTGTACCTTATTGCCAAGTAGAGGGGGAACCCACAGTTGCTGCGACCTCCCAGCTGCAGGCTTCATTTATGCGGATTGTTGAATAGTACTGTTTATCTGAAAGTAAAAAAAAAAATTTGATCTGTAATTGTAATAGAAAATTTAAGAAAATTTCCAAGCCTAATATACAAAACGGCAAACGGTTGTGGTGCTATTAATGATTAGGGGTCATCTCACTTCTTGACCGTCTTTGTTGTGAAGAGCAGCATTCATTTTAAATGTTTTCCCCATGAGCTAATAAAGCAGGTGTTCTAATTGTCTTGATCCATTACTATAAATAGATTGAAACACTGGATTCATAATTTTCTAGCTAAAGACACAGTATTTAGACACAGTATTAAAGAATTCAGTACTACTACAGGAACAGATTAAAAGTGCAGGCATATAAATTCACAGCCTTGATTTTACTGCATAAATTAAGTTTGCAAGGCAGGAAATTTGCATCACTGCAAGTGTTCAAGGCCAGCAGTGATAGCTGTAACTAAAATTAATAGTTGATGGTGGGTTTGTTTTTTGGGGTTTTTTGGTAAACATGAAATGCCAATTTCTGCAACGTATAGAAAAAGTACTAATTCTTTGTAGTGCATTGTATATTGAATAGTGACATCTGGCATAGATTTTCTTGCTGCAATAATCACTACTGCCAACAACAGATTTCACAGGAAGTAATGATGCCTGATGTCACAGGTAGAAAAATAATGCCTTTCTTGCTAGATTTGACTGGATAATTACAAGAGGTATCATAGTTATTAAACGTAACTTATCTTCCTAATAAATTTAACTTTAGAAGGGGGTTTCCTGGCTCTCTCATCTTGGTACAGAAGAATATTCCTCCATTCTTTCACTGTGTATTCTCATCTTTTGACTTCTAATTCAAGGAGCTCGGGGGCATGTACCATCTGGGCACTGTGGAGCTGTGTTCTGCTGAAGCTTCTTCTGTTTTGCCTGTGGTAGAGATCTTAGTGGTGGACTTCATAGATCTACAGTAATACAGATCCACTGGTTAGCTCTCACCGTACCATGCAGAGGGGGCAAGTTCATGGAGACTCGGGCAGTTGAGCAGCTTTCACCATCACACTTTGACTTATGAAGGATTCTTTCTGCCTCCACCTTATGTGGATCCCTGTTACCTTTGTGGTGTGTAAGGATGAGCATTGTCCATTAGGACAGGAACTGTTAAATCAAGTGTTTTTCAGGAAGTTACTTTGGGATAAAAGCCCCATTACCTGAAGGCTAGACTTTAGCTAGGTAGGCCAAGTAAATTACAGTTCATTGAGGTTTAAGCCATCAAAAAATTAAAAACCCAGAAAAAACACCCTTTACTTTATTGATGCTCCTTCCATTACAAAGTAAGCATCCAGAGCACATTTATTTAATGTTTAAATTACTTCATATTTTCACATAACCTTAAAAGAAAATATATTTATCCCACATACAGTAATAGCAAACAAGTGCATTATTTCAAACATTAAAAATAATCTTTAAACAAATCTGTACAACAGATAAATAAAATATCTACAATACTTAGTTTGTGAAGAACAAAACAGAACAATTCCTCCAAACTCACCCCCTTTCCTCCTAATGAAGGCTGCATGCAACTGCTGCATTAAAACCCTGAACCAGCTCAACAGTGCTCAGCTATAACTATTTTTTCTGTAAATCAAATGTCCCAATTAGTGACTAAGAGTTTTCAAAACACTGGAAACAACATACACAAAGAACAAGCAACTGAGAAAGCATTGAGTATATTTTCTCCAGCTTGTCAGACTAGGCAACAGACCCAACAAGGTTGCTAAATAATGCAGTAGGAGTATACTATTGAACATTAGCTTTTTTTTTTTTTTTTTTAAAGCTCACCACTGGGTCCATCATTCTTACAGAATTATTTTCTTTACTGAAACAATTTTGCAGCTATTTCACTGCTAGAAAGTTCTGCAGACACAGATAACTTAGCAAGTCCACACTCCACAATTCAGCTGAGACCGTATCAGAAAATACATCTCAGAATACTTAATGTATAACTTAAAAATCATTATATAGCATTGTACATGGCATAGAAAACAATACTGTATTCATTGTTCAAGTGCTAAACAGTATTCAGCAACATGAAGCCAACAAGTGACAATCTCAAAGCATTATTGAAACCAACCTCCCCCAAATATCTGCAGGCTGAACCAATATTATATATAGTTCAAAAGATGAAAGCATAATCAAGTTCCACTGATTCTGCAGAATGTAAATTACAAACCTGCCATTTCTAATTTGAAGTGCTATTCCTTTCAGTTTTACTTTATTAGGAGATTCATAATAAAGAGAATAAAATGAAGCGTTAGATTCTGACCTTGAATCACAAAGGAGGAATGAGACTGCTAAATATAGATAGAAAAGCCAGTGCCCCCAAGAGGCCCTCAGTCTTCTCTCTCTCCTAATTTAAAGAGGTACCCAATGCTGCTAGCCAGACCAACCACTCGCTCAACCCCTCTTCTTCATGCTATTCATCAGGTTGGTTCTTCATTTTTTCACTGAAAACATTACTGCAGAATCTAATACAGTTCCAGTTCCAAAGTGAAATTTTATTCAAGTTATTTGCTATGTGGGGGTTCTGAGACTACTGTGCCTCTAATTTCCCCTTCTTCATAAAACCTATAGTAGTAGGTATGGTTGGGTTAGATGTGATAAGAAAAGGATGGGAATGTTTAATATCTGGCTGAATCTGAAGCTTGCTCATCATCTGTTTTTCACTAGGACTGTATTAATATTGTGGAATCAGTTTTTTAACTGATGAAAACACAAACATACTTTTAGAAAGTAAAAATAAAATTACTTAAGCATTCTTAATGATCTAGTTACTAGAGCTAAAGAATATTTGCTGAAAATTGTCTTCAGTAAAAACATGATGTTTGATGCAAATCTGGGTATAATTCTAAGTGGAATCACTTTAAGCTGCTGCTTTTTTTTGTTGATTGGATAAAGGGTTTCATATAGTACATGCTTGCTACATCCAAAATATTCATCCCTAAATGATGAGTTAACACTTGGTTCCTGGGATGACCAGGAAGGTAACTTCATATTCCAAATTCAGCTATAAAACAGTCATTTACTAGGAAGTCATATATCAAGTCCACTTTGCTGTTAACAAAACAGTTCCTAATGAGTACACTTAAAGCACATCTTATGTCTTAGCTGTAGTACATTAGTAAATATCCACCATTTAGTGGTCTCAAGAAAAGTTAATTCAACAATCTCTAATTGATGTTGCCAAGCCACCTATTTAACTTCTTCATGTTATGTTAAAATAGATACGTAAACAGAAATATATATCCAGTAGAAAAAAATTTTCACATGCAATTCTGTACAGTGCATTCCTGTTTCTCAGGTTCCTTGAAGAGATTTCCACATAACATATGTACATTTCCACTATATACATGTTCAATATACTTCATTTAAATGTCTTCTTGTGCTGCTCAGCAACATACAAGTGGTTTTGTTGTACCTCCAGTTGGTTATTTTTGTTCAGGCAGATACAAAATAAGCCTGAAATAAGTTTCAAAGTATCTCTTGAAATTAATGCCTTGATTGATCTTGAACTGCTGACAGGAAGAGGAGTCCAGAAAAAAATCCAGCTATGCACAGCAACCTTTTCAAAAGAGTTGCATTATCTTTAGGAATGACAATCTGTGCTAGATCATTGGTGATCTGAGAAATTTCGTGTGCCACACACACAAATATAAAAGTGCTGACAATGATGTTAAGCATAGGATATCCAGGAATGAGCACCAAGATTCCCTTTGTATCTGCTGCCAGCCAGATGTGGTATTGGCAGATGAATAACTAGAATGCAGAGATATTCAGTTAACATTTCCATTAAAAAACATCATTACTATGTTATTAGATGATATAAAGTATCTTCCTTATGTTAAACACTGCAATGGATATTGAAGGTAAGGAAAGTCTAGCAGACTCAAGACACCCCCTGGAAAATGCCAGCTCTCAGCTTTCACACTTTTTTGACGAAGGAAAGATTATAGATCAATTCTTGCACTGCTAAGAACTGAAGACTGTGGTGGGCCAGAATGGTTTTGACACTACAGGGATTCCTATTGGAAATCTCTTGATTATTGTGCGAACTGTGTAGGTGCTTGCACACCCAGCAGTGTTAATAAAAAGTAGCACCCTGGTTGCAAACCACTGCTCTAACAGAACACAATGCAATCATGTAAAAATTATACAATCATGTACCATATAGTGCACTGCATGAAAGACTTGTTCTGATGCAGGGACTATTCAATCAAAAAATTCTTTCCCTTCTTGAAATATAATAAAAATGCACTTAAAAAGAGAAAACACAGGAGGAGGGAAGGAAGGAAACGTATAATTTTATGCAATATAAAACAGCTACTAAAACAAGAAGCAAATTAAATCCTACAGTTTTAAAATAGAAAAAACCCAGCACAGAACAGAAAATATTCAAATTCTTGCACCAGAAGATGGATTTGCCGATTTAGACATATCCATATATGCAGCCCATAAAACCCATTGAGTGGATACAGTTGTATGACTATGTCTACACTAGTCAATATAACTCATGAACTGGCATACGCTCTCAGGCTAACTGCATGCACACTAGAATTTACAGGCTCCTATATACATGCGGGGAGCCTACTCGATTAATTGAGTCTGCTAGAGCATGGAAATCAACATGCTCCAGCAGCCTCCAGCATTACGTGCATCTGCATTCCTGTGCTAAAAAATGGCAGCGAGGCACTTTGAACTAAAGCTCATTAAAGGAGCTTTAGTTTAAAGCACTCCGCTGCCATTTTTCAGTGCAGGGACGCTTTGGGCACTTTTAATTAGTGTGACTCTCGGAGCTGCGCTAATTAAAGTGCTCCCCCACATCTCTCGGAGCATGTGTATAAATGCCCTATAATACTAGCATCACTACCTTGATTTAAAAAAACCATAAGTCACAATACGCT